TATCGTCAGCGGTTATGTAAGTTACTCTCTACTCAACCAGCACAACGCATTTAATTAACAATCTAGTTAATCAGCAAATTTATTTTCTTAAAAGTTGTTGATTTGACATTGTCAATATTTGCTACTCCTTTTTGATGGGAATTAAAAACAGTATAGCACATTTTAAATTTTGGGTGGAGAAAATTGCTAGATGTTTAATATACTACTCAATGCTGTAAATTGTTTTCGACTAAATATGCACGTTTTTAACTTTTAGAATCCCTCAAATTGGAAAAACTCGTTTGTTCAAGCTAGAACATGATTATTATGTTGTTGTGTATTGTTCATAATTATTATGAACTAGCTGTACCCGCGGGCTTTGCCCCGTTTAACTTCATAAGTATTCGCATGGCTCATTCACGTCTTGGTTGAACTTCGTTCGCTACGCTCACTCACCTTTAGGTTGGAGCTCGTTCGCTGCGCTCACTTGCCTTCAGATTAGCTCGTTCGCTACGCTAACTCGCCTCCAGGTTGAAGTTCGTTCGCTACGCTCACTTACCTTTTGGTTAGAAATTAGCTGTTGTCATAAATTAAAAACAAATAATAGTGCTGCACCCTGTTGGTAATCCTTGTAACTTTTATGCTATTGAACATCATAGAACAAAACCAACTTGTTTAATTGAAACAGCTGTTAAGATTCATTAATTCCTTTTAAATATGAAAAATCATAAGATTAACATGGGGAACTACAGAGCCACTGGGGCAGAGCCCGAAAGGGGTTTTGAGATAAGAATATGCTTTAATGATAATCGGGAATGTGAACTATCATCATGCCAAATTTAAGCCCAATCCGTCCAGTAGTTTATGCGTGATTGAGCGTACAAACACACACACAAACTCACAAACTTTCAGATTTATAATATTAGTAAGATAAGATTGAACGCGTCTTTTGTGTATGCTGGACGTTAGAACAAATAAATATTATGACTTTTTGGGTTTGAAAGTTTATAGACAAACGTTGTGTTAGATAATATGTGTAGCAATAGTAAAGAAAATATCAAATACATCAAAGGATTTTGTCAAGAAACAGCTGATTGTTTTTATAGTGAGTGATTATTGCAAGATTTTTATTCAGAAGCTTATTATTGTTAAAGTAGTTCACGCTAAAAAGAGCGAATAAGTTATCTTACTAATATTATAATTATTGTGAAAGTTTGTGTGTTTGTTTGTTTATTTGTTTGTTTGTTTGAAGTTCAATCACGCATTAACTACTGGACGGATTAGGCTGAAATTTGGCATGATAGCTCACATTCCCGATTAACACATAGGCATATTCTTATCTCAAAAATCCTTTCAGGCTCCGCCCCAGTGGCTCTGTAGTTACCCATGTTAACCTTATGAGTATTCATATTTAAAGGGAATTAAAGAATTTAGTCAGCTGTTTCAACTCAAAAAGTTGGTTCTATAATATGCAAAAGTATTAAAAACTTATAAACTTTACCAACAGGGTGCAGTTTATAAGGTTTTAATACTTTTGCATATTATAGAACCAACTTTTTTAGTTGACTAGTTACTTGGACAGTTGTCAAAGTAGGATTGTTTACAGTTATGTTTATGTTTTTAGTTTCAGGAATAATTTGTGATATTTTGCGAATTTTTAAAATTTAGTTTTCTTTATTGTTTAGGTGAAGTGGTAGAACATTACGGCTATGGTAGATGTGTAATACTTAATACTATAGAATACTGAAACAAATTTTATCAACTGTCCTCCCTCATTGCAAACGCAAAGCTTGAGTATAACTGCAATAAGCATTTTATATGCCAAACCCGTACGAAGGACGGGTACTCTGCTAGTAACAAAATACATTAGATATCCAAGTTAGTAAAAAACCACTCTAGGATAGTTTTAACTCGTCGGCAAACACCATAGACAATTAACCGCCCTGCAGGAATTAGAAGATTAAGTTTTCGCAAGTCAGGACTAGACAGCGTTTTTTGAGGTCTGTTGTTTGCTGATAACGACTAGTGGAGCCTTCAAACCCCGCACGGCAATAAATACACGTCACGGGGCTGCGTATAGGGGATGCAACGGCGCACCCCTTGTGTTATGGCACAATACCGGGCTATTGATTCCGATGCTTTTACAAATAAATCTGTCTTTTTGGATTTTTACAGTTTTTAAGATTCTTTTTTCTGTTCATTACGCGATTAAAATAATAAATATGGTTATAAAACTATTTTGTTCTGTTAAAATTATTGTTTTTTTTTATAACATATTTTGTAGTTTTTAGGTTTTTAGCCGTTTTTTTTATTGTGAAGACAAGTGTATTGTTAACAAGGTTGAACTATTTTCATATTTGGTAGGGTACTTCTATGGTATTAGAAATCTTATGGCAAGGAATTTGTTTTAAATACAAAGACTCAACTGATACTGTACAACAATAAAACTATTTTTGTTATAGTCTTTAATGAGAGTGTATCTTAAATTACAATCCACAAACATGAAACATGAGTTCCAATTTCAGACAATATATTTGTATTATAGTACTGTACTAGCTGTGTACCCGTTCTACGCACGGGGATCTTATAATATTCAGTTGAAACCTTCTTATATAACGAACAGCAGTTGGTTTGCATATTTTAAGATATGCTGGCCAAACTATTATACATAGCTTCATTTTATGTTGTTTTTTGTTGTTCCGGATCGGTATGACAATCAATAAAAGGTTAAATTACCTCTGTGTCTGCCGGTCGATCCTATAACGGTAGGCTTACTTTTATTTTTACTATCTGATCTCGTTTGCATGGCTCAATCACGTCCTGGTTGAAGTTCGTTCGCTACGCTCACTCACCTGTATGTTGGAGCTCGTTCGCTGCGCTCACTTTCCTTCAGGTTAGCTCGTTCGCTACGCTCACTTGCCTTCAGGTTAGCTCGTTCGCTACGCTCACTCGCCTCCAGGTTGCAAATTAGCTGTTGTCATAAATGTAAAAGAAATAATAGTGCTAGTGCTGCACCCTGTTGGTAATCCTTGTAACTTTAATGCTATTGAACATCACAGAACAGAACCAACTTGTTTAATTGAAACAGCTGTTAAGATTCAATAATTTCATTTCTCATAAGGTTAACATGGGCTTCCAGAAATTCCACGTCAAAAATCGACAAAAACTTGATTTTCAAGGGTTTACTGTTAAATATCTAACTGTCTCATATTCGATGAAATACGTCTAAAACCATCTCATATATGTATAGTATTTGGAAAATAAGTTTCAGGCGGGACAGTGCTATAGTTATTGAGGAGTAGTTGTAATAAAGTGCGTATTTTAGCGTTACCAAGAGAATGACAGATAGACAGACAGACAGACAGACAGACAGACAGACAGAAATTGAGATAAGGTTTGATTCGGTTTCTCTGACCTATGAAATGTAAAAATAACCAAAAAGTTCATTATTCTAAGCAATGTACAGACAAAACTCTAATTTTATTTATATAGATTATCAGAGGAACGCTAACGAATGAAGGGATGTTTCATTCATTTATTCAACTACATGATACATTTATATTCAGTAATAATGTATTCTAAAGAAGTACAACAATATTTTTAGTTTTTAATAATTATCGTTCATAGTACCACCAAAGAAATAACTGAACTTTACTGAGGCCCTTAGGCAGCCACTAGCTTAAAAAGGCATACGTTGTCATGACATACGTTGACATGAGCAATCATGAGCAAAGTCAACAGTTAATACAGTTACTAGGGCAATGTATATAAAGACTACAGAATAAATTGATTTAATAATTTAACAAAACATCTAAAACAAAATACTATGTATACCTGATGCGACTAGTTATCTGAAAATTGAGTGTGTCCAATGGTGGTATGAATTTATTCTACATGGCTGAATAACATAAAAAACGTTATAATATAACTATACTTAATTTTTCAAGGCTTTATCATGATGAGATTGGACAGGCTATGTCTTATACACACTCTATTTCTTATAACCCAATAATGTTTTGGGTTGACTTGTGCAACAGAAATCAAAGTGTGGTTCACAATATACGAACGTAGATAAAGAGCTTTTTGCACAATGGCCTCTAATAATTGCTCAGGTCAGCAGGGGGTCTGTAATACACACACTGTGTATATATCTTTTTTCGAGAATTTGTGTCGGAATAAGATCACAAGAAACACTAGCTACAGTACAGCTTTTGAATCAAATGTAGATGACGATGAACTTTTTAAGCTTTACAATAACTTGGAGATTATACAGGGCAGTACTCAAACTAGGGTTTCTGTAAATTTTTACCGGGGCCCGGGCCCTACCAAACGTATGTACTTCAAGGGGGGGGGGGGTCTAATATCTTTACCGGGGCCTGCCAAACCTGGGCAAAGCCCTGAGATTATATCATAATTGGAAAATGTCCTTTAAAAAGGCATGTAGATCAACTATACACGTTACATACTCAATGCTCTAGCTAAACATACATAATTGAAATTCATTCTTTGCGGTCTAAAATGAGAAATGTCCACTTAATGTGGAAATGGTGGGGGGGGGGGGGGGGGTCGAGAGAGAGCATACCAAGTCAACACAAGCAGTAAGATATGGACGAGTTTTTCCCAGTCACGAATTGAGTTAACAATTCCGTAGTACTGTATGATTCTTAATCTGTTGGAGATACGACAGAGTGCTCTTGTAAAGCGTTTGTATTTTATTTCTTTATGAAGCAGTCCTTTAGGCGGAATTCCGTCTTGTCGCACCTGAGTCTCGCCCACACGCAGCGCCGCATACCCGACTATGGAAAAAAAGCCTTGACAGACGTTGTCGCGGTGGTGGGGGAGGGGGCGGGACCGCGGCACGTGATTGGTCCTCACCATAGTCACGTGACCCAGCTGACGCGCATGCGGGGTGGAGCCTTCCCCCACTCCAAGCCACTCTCGTCACTCCCATTCGGAAACATGTCAACTAAGTATATTTTTGTACGTGTTTTTGAAAAAGTTTAGGAGGGATTGCAGTGTGCTCGGTTCGGATCAATCGCGGGTTCTTATTTAATACGGTTTTCAGAGTCGTGGAAGCCTTTAAGCTCCTCCGGTAACAGGCTTAAGGCTTGTTTTATCCTTCGTGTGTGCGTGTGCGTGCGTGCGACGAACGTCTTGGGCAAAAATACTACTACGTACTAGAAGGAGGAGGAAAGTCGCTAAGTAGCGATTCTGTCGGGACCTCCAAGCCGGGTAAGTGTTCTTATTACGATAATAGATGACGAATTAATACCGAAACCGAACAAATGATTAAGCCCCGAGCGAAGAGATTTGCTGTAAGAAGATTAGGTGTAATATCCCTTTTTGTGAAGGTGCCCTATACCCGTAGCTTAGTGGCTGGCGAGAGCCCGTACCGGCAACTCGTGTTATACAATACAGTGTATAGTGTATAGTATAGTGTGTTCGGTAGTGTAGTCTAGTGTGTGTAGTGTATCATGTATTGTGTGGATAACTCTGGACACGGTAGGCATGTACCTTGGCCATACATGTTCGGGGACGTAAGGCAACGTCTTAGACTAGACTTAGTTATAATGTAATTTTAACGTATTTACACTACAGTATAGGATTTGTGGTTGTAGGAAGTAAACATTACAACTGGAGAAGCTATATAAGAGTTGTTGGGGGAAAATAGCGTTCTACAGTTACACAGTGTCGCTTATTGATGTTTTTTTGCTATTCTAGTGTTCATACACACTGACAAATGTAGAAAGATACCTATATTCAAAGCCGTCCTCTCATTTTCACAAAAAGAGATAATCGAGGTACCGTATGCAGGTACTTGATAAAACCAAATCTATTTGTGTACAGCATATGATAGTTGCACTACCACAGTTGGTTGGATAAGTGTTATTTAAGAGATTTATGCCCAAAAACCTCTAGAATATTCGCGCAGATTCGCTATCATGTTTCCAGAATCGATGATGTAGTACGTAGGATACCAAGCATGATTCATTGGGCAATTATGTAACTAATTTAAAAACTATAACATTTAGTCAATTAGGTGTGCATTTGTCATTAACACTAAAGCTGAATTAAAACAATTTGTTTTATAACCAAGCGATAGTGTGGGTTACCCAAGCGACAAAACGATACACGTTTCAACGCAGCTACAAACTATGAAATTACCCTCCCCTATTCTGATATCGCACCCCATCCAAAGCCCAAATGAAAAATGACTATCGGAAATCCAAATAAAAAGATTGAATATATTCGTGTACGGGGGAGGGAGGGTGTAACATAGGCCGATGTAGCGACTGGGGGATGATTTGATAGCAATTGGCGAACAGGGGCGAGCAGGGGAGTACCCTAATGTGCGACAGCTGCCGGGTCCCACACACAACACACAAACACACACAAGGTCTAACCGACATTCATCTGGCTGTGGGTAGCATCGCATCAACACATAGATGTAACAATCATACATACTTGGTATACGTCATTCAAACATTGACTGCAACATTCCACACACAACACACAAACACACACAAGGTCTAATCGACATTCATCTGGCTATGGGTAGCATCGCATCAACACATAGATGTAACAATCATACATACTTGGTAACATTCCACACACAGCACACAAACACACAAGGTCTAACCGACATTCATCTGGCTGTGGGTAGCATCGCATCAACACATAGATGTAACATACATACTTGGTATACGTCATTCAAACATTGACTGCAACATTCCACACACAACACACACAAGGTCTAACCGACATTCATCTGGCTGTGGGTAGCATCGCATCAACACATAGATGTAACATACATACTTGGTATACGTCATTCAAACATTGACTGCAACATTCCACACACAACACACACAAGGTCTAACCGACATTCATCTGGCTGTGGGTAGCATCGCATCAACACATAGATGTAACAATCATACATACTGTATACGTGATTCAAACTTTGACTGCAACATTCCACACACAACACACAAACACACACAAGGCCTAACCGACATTCATCTGTCTAAGGGGTAGCCAAAACATGGATGTAACAATCATACATACTTGAATCATGCACAAACGAAGTCAACCAACTATACGGTTGAGAATTTCAAACATTATCAATCCTTATTTAGTAACCGTCAATTAAATATTTGTTTTAGCCTTCCATAGCCTTCAAAACGAACCATCCCCAAGCATGCACCGAAGATTATAATCAGGCCCGTTTTTGACCTTGTCAGCGCCCTAGGCACAACTAATAGTAGTGCCCCTTTCAATTTATATAACAGGGTGTCCACCGACCGAGAAATTCGGGAATCATGCGGGAGTTTTTGAACCGGGAATTATGTGTGAATTTTGTATTTCTAAGTAGAGTTTTCAATTTACCGTGATCGCGCATGACATTGACAACAGTGACGTTTACGTGACCGCGGTAGACGATAATATGTCTACACACGGCCGCAATGGATGATCAGAATTTTCACGATCGCAGAACACGATGATGATATCTACGGATCCGCGAGGGATGATCAGAATATTGCCACGATTACGGAATACAATGATAATGCCCACACGACCGCAGGAAACAGCAAGAATTTTGCCGCGATTGCGGAAGACGAAGACGATCTCTACGCTACTGCGGGACATGATCAACATTTTGGAGCAAACGCGGGAGTCGATTACCATGTATTCATGACCGCGGGACACGATTGTGATGTCTACATAGGACCGCGGGAGATACAATAATGATTTCTACACGACCGCAAGGGATGATCACAATTATGCCGCGATCGCTCATAGATGGTAATGTCCACATGACCGCGGGAAATATCAGAATTTTGTCTGATTCGCGGAAGACGATTAACTCCATATGTCCGCGGGAGATGATTACCATTTTGCCGCTATTGCGGTAGGCGATTACTATGCCCAAACGACAGCGGGGGATATATTATGTATTCACGGCTGCGAGGGGTGATTATCACAATAGCGCAAGACGATCATAATGGCCACACGATCGCGGGAAAAGTAGATTTTTGCCTCATTCGCGGTAGAGGATGTTAATCTCCTCACGACCGCGGGATATGTTCATATATTATGGCCTCGATCGTGGAAGACGATAATTATGTCTAAACGACCCAACCGCGGAAAATAGTAAGAATCTTGCCACAAACGCGGGAGACGATTACGATGTCTACACGGCCGCGAGATGTTATCGGAAGTTTACCGCGATCGCATGCAAATATAACCTAATTTTTTTCATTTTCCAAATTTTTGGCACCCCCCAAAAAAACCAATTGCCTCGCGCCATAGGCACGTGCCTACCGTGCCTATTCGGTAAATCGGCCCTGATTATAATGTAATTCAATCTTAGAAAGCAGCATGCACCCATACACACGACATTTATATGCAGGTACGACTCACAGAATTGCAACAAGGCACAAGACAATTGTATAAAGTGCATTGGAAGCTAAATCAAGGATATAACAGGTAAATCGTGTGAATCTGATGGCAGTATTAAAATATAATACACTAGATAACGCACAGGATACATGCGAAACGGCTTTCCTGATTTATGTCAACAGAAAAAGTTCAATGATTGAATAAATTAAATTAATGAACATCCAAAATCTACTCTTTTGGGACAACAATGGCATGCTTTTGAACGTAAAATATTCTTTCAACACAAGACAACAGTGAAATATGCAGTATAAATGTGTCTATTGTACTATTACAAAACAAGCGGTGATTGTATTAAGCACCTGCTGCTGAACATAGAAACATGGTGTTTAATGCACAACTACGCGATAAGAAAGGGGTCTATACTGTATACTCTATACTGTAATACTATATGACATCATGGTTATAACATTTAATTTAAAAACGTGCACGTACATAGTTGCGACTTTGCACAAAAAGCACAACGTTCTCATACTATAACACGTCGTACGTCATTGAAATTTGGTGACAAATAAAATTAGAGGTAAGGCTAATGCAATCGATGTATTTAATCTCAACTCAAAATAAAGTTTTGATGTTCTTTTGAAATTCAAACAGTTTTTGTACTGGTAATTCCGGAAATCTTGCCACAGAATATCGAGTAGGACATTTGTCATTACGTGTTTTAGTACAGTAATTGTGATTTACTGAGATTATACCATAATATCAACATCATTAATACTCTTTAAACACTTGTTTCTATGTTATTGTGTTCTTTGTGGTGATAATCAGGGTGATAATGTAATTACAATACAGCTCTAAATAGTTTATTTTCAACTCTGTAATCGTAATCGTGGTGAAATATTATAGTTGGAATATCTTAGTGCTTTTCATAGCAACCAAAATTCAATAAACTATTTAAAACATCTGTCAGCTGATAAATCTGTCAGCCACTACAGGAGCCCCCTACGAAGACTGGAAGTCCATGGAGTTTTTGGAGGGTTCCGAAAAGTCACAAAGAAATAACAAATAACAAAAAAATATAACACAGGACAAAGGCAATTTCCATCAAACTGAAATTGGATTCTTGAATGTCACTTTTCTTCCAGACTTTTTCGTATACGACTTTTGAAAATCCACATCGTTTGAAGTTTTAGATACATTTGAGGGCTTAACCTCATCATTCTGAAGGACATAGGCCGGTTTAACTCTGTCAAGACTAACTTTAACATTAGAACCATTCACTTTTATTGTGATAGTTTTACTGTCTTTCTTGATCTATGGATGAAGTCCGGTGTATGGATGTTGTAAAGATTTTCTCATTGCATCCACTCTCAGAAAAACGTGCGAACATGTGTCCAAATCACGAAAAATGAAGCTTCGGTTAATGCCGTGTCTCTTGATATTTGTTGGTTTTATTGATGAAATCTTGAGTCGTAATCGAGACACGAATTAGTCGGATCCTCTAAGGGTGCTAGCTGGGTTGTTGGCATAAAATACTCGCCAGGGAGGCGTAAAACCTCTCCAAAAACCATTTCAGCAGACGAGGTGTTCAGATCCACACGGAAAGCATTTCTTATTCCAAGAAGCACTGTAGGGGGGTTCGCATTCCATAACAATGGGGGTTCTTCAAAAATCAGACACTCAATACAGCATTTTTGATGTGTCTGTATAATATTTTTAATAATTTGGATATTGGGGAGACGATCTTTTAAATGCAAATAATATTTAGGTAAGTAATTGGAAATTACAATGTTACAAACTACATAGATTTAAGTAGTCGTCATAATCACTATGTT